CCTGCAGGACCAGACCAGTGCAGAATAATCCTCCTTGGAGGTGAATCCCATCCTCCATCCTTTGTAGGCCTTTCTTTTTAGCCTCAGGAGGTCTGCTAGGTCCCTGGAGAGCCAGGGGGCTGCTGTGCCCTCTTGCTGCCTTTCCTCCGAGATGGAATAGACTTGGCTTGTGCATTGAGGATTGCTCCCTTGAGGAGCAACCACACTTCTTGAACTCCCCTCTCCCCTGGGGTTGTGGTCCCTTAGGGCCTGACTGACAAGCCTCCTGAGCTTGTCAAAGTTGGCTTTCCTGAAGTCAAGGACTTCTGTGTTGCTGACTGACTTGCCAGCTTTACGGAGGATGGTGAAGGTGATCAGCTCGTGGTCACGGCCACCCAGCTTCCCATCGATCACTAGGTCGCCGATTAGGTCATCACCAGTAGCCAGTACCAGGTCGAGCAGCGCTTTGCCTGTCGTTGGCCCATAGACTTCTTGAGTCAGGTAGAGGTCATCCACACACGAGAGGAAGCTTTGCGACTGCTCGGATTTTGCTGAGTGATCCTCCCGCGAAATGTCCGGGTAATTGAAGTCACCCATGACAACCATGGTCCTGGAGTATGCAGCCTCAGCCAGTTCCTGGGCGAACTCCTAGTCAAGCTCAGGACTTTGGGTGGGAGGTCTGTAGTAGATCATGTCTCTGCCCTGGACTTCATTTACTTAATGCTCTTAACCCATTTCCACAGTGGTTATGAGGCACTTCATGAGCTCCTTCTTCTGTACTTAGCACCAAGAATCTCAGTCCCAAGCTGTGCAGAAGAAATGGTCTTTGCTGTCTGGGAGAGCTAACAGGCTAAATCCTCATATCCTTTGGTCTCCTCTTGCATTTGCTGTCTTAGCAGAAAGAGAGAGATGCAAACTGCATCTCTTTCCATTTGTAGTTATTGAGTTGTTATACTCCCTTTGGGACTGATGTCATGTCCCGTCCCCCCCCCACACACACACACATCTCACCCTAAAAATGTGACTTAGTGGGAAGTTCAGGAAGCAGAAACAAAAGGAGGGGAGGAAGGGAAAAACATATAAACAAACAATCCCCCCCACAAGTCAGAGACCACCCTGGGGACATGCTTATAGGGGACAGTGGTGTTTAAAGGGAAGGGAACACAACTATTGAAGAGGTTTGACAACAGACTTTACCCTGTTGACTGTGGATGGGCACAGGAAATCCAGATTGGTAGGTCTCTCCCCTGAGCTTGCCCTGGTAATGGCAGTTACCGTGAGAGGGCAACCCTGAAGAGGGGTCTGGGAATAGCATCTGTGTAAGAGTGAGAGAACCTAAAGCTCTAAGACACCAGTTCTCAACCTTTTTAGACTCAAGGCACCCCTCAAATAATGCCAGCTCTGAGCATTCACTTGTTTTTTTGATGACAAAATACTAATAAAGTGTTTTTTCCTGTGGCAAAAAGAAAAACAACACAAAAAAACCCCAACTTCAGAAACACTGCAACAGGTCAAAATGCTTTTGTCACTGTGGATTCCTAACTGACATCCTTAGGTTTAATCTCGTGACTGAATGGGTGCATGTATACATTCACTAATGTGCCATAGTTACTCTGCATTAAGTTTAGTACTTGGATAACCAAGTACTAAAATCAGCGTGCAGTAACTGGTGCTACTGCGCGGTAGTGCTGGTGCATAGCTTGTTAGTGGTGTTATCTGTGCAATAGCTTAATACTACTGCATAGTAGTGTATTATCATGATTTTTGCCATGACACACAACTGTGCAGTAGTACTAAGCTACTGCACAGTTAGAGTCTTGTGTAGACGTGCCCAGTGAGTAGGTGTTAGTGTACCTAATAGTGCCACTATTGCACAGCACCCTTAAAATCGTCTTATGACAGCCCAAGGTGCCACAGCACCCCTGTTGAGAATTACTGCTTTAGAAGCATGTTGCCCTTGATGGAGATGTGATGGATTTCTCTACTCTTCAGTTTCCTTGAGACCCCCGATGCTTATAAAGTGGTAGGGAGCTGCATCTCCACTTCCACAGAGGTCACATGTACCACAGCTATTCCCCTTTGCTACCAGCAGCCAGAAATTCTTCAGTACAATTTGATTGCTCCCCTACAAACCACCTCTCTCGCATGCAGCAGCTGCCCCCTCATTACCATAATAGATTCAGTCAGTGTTCTCCATGCTGCCAACTCAGCCCTGCCTCTACGTAGGAGAGGTGCCCTTATGCCATCCAACTGGCTGCCAGCTTCCTTAGCACTAGGCAGGCAAGAGTCAGCAGTCTTCCACTCCCCCCCTCACAATGTCATTGCAATGTGTGCAGTACTCATTCAATGCCAGCCATGTTGTTCCTGTCACCTTGCAGGCAGAGCTTGATGGTTGGGTAATTCTCCCAGTCTGGATTTCTTAGATATTAGACTGATGGATGCAGTCTCAGCCAGCCCAATTTGTCCCAGGTGGTGCATTAAAGAATCACTGAGGGGGATCTAGAGAGGACGGAGAAAGCGCCATGAGGTGCCCTTAGATTATTCCTGCAATCAGTAATAGTCACTGGAAACAAGTGTTTCTGTAGGCAGTGAATATTCAGTAGCTGACAAGGAGGGTCAGGTTTGACCAGAGCTCTGGGGACCAACAGGATGGGGCAGAGCTCTCAGCAACAGATCAGCTGGAGGTCAGGGAGGATCATCTCCTGCCATCCCCCATTTCCATGACAGTGGTCTCCCCTACCCACCTTTATTCAGCCATCTCTTTCTTCCAGCCAGTAGCCACACACACACACACACACACACACACACACACGGGCAGGAGTCTCCCACCTCCCCCCAGTACAAGCTCTTCAGCAGCCAGAACAATTCTGGGATTAGTCTGTAAGGGTTTATGTAATTCAAGGTTATACTCACATAACCACTGGCTAGGGCACTGTTGCACAGTACTGCTCTTCCTGCTGCTGAATACAGCCCTGTAATATGCTAGGGGCAGGTCTCTAATATTAGGCTTTTGAATCCTCACAGATAGCAGGTCTGGCAAGCCAGTCTGCAGGGGGCATGGGCTCATATGCTGGGCAGCTTAAGTGGGTCAGGAGTTAGTGCAGACTGGCTTACCCAGCCTATGAAGATTTTATTCCACTCTGTCACTGGCTTGTTGTGTGTGATCCTGGGGCAAATCATGGAGCCAGCTGTCTTATTTTCTCACCCATCTTGTAACACTTAGATCTTTTCAACCATCTCCCAAAGCACCTTACAGCATGGTATCATTGCCCTGACTTTACAGATGAAGAAAGTTAAGGTGGCAGTGAGCTGTCACCTTTGTGATACATCATATGGTAGGGATGACCCAAGTAACAGTAAGCACAGCTGCTGTTTGAAGGCGTATCTAGGAGACTCTCTACCTGCTTGGCATTTGACTTGGTTCAGGAGGTCCTTTGCTAGTCCCTACACTTCTAAGCTTCAAAATACTCCCCTGTCTCTAGTATTAGCACTCTTAAAGCTTCATTTCCTTGCAGTACCAAGTCCTACAACTGGACATACTTGTCATCTCCACCCCCTCTCCTACCCCTTCCCGAGAGGAAGTTCCCAGTTTTCACCTTTCTTTTCCCTCACAGCCACCCGCCTCAACCTACCTTCCTGCCCCTGCATAGGAGACTGGTACCACAGGAGTTACGTTAGCTATGATACTCATTAAGTAGGCATATTATAATGGCAGAGAGATAAAGAACAGCAGAGGAGGTGTGTTGACTCTCATTGTTCAGTCAAGTCGACATTTCATGAGTTAAGTGATCCAAACCGGGAAACAGACAGTTAAAAAACACCCAGTTTCGAGTATTAGGCTTTGAAACAGAAAAAGCCATCAGTTTTCCAGCGTACCTTATGCTGATCCATGTGCGTCACAGCAAAGCCTGTATTCTTATGGCATGCATGTTGCAAGACAAAACAGCTCGTTTTCAGCTAGCCAAGATTGCCCCTTCCATTCTGGCATCACATTATCTTGGTTTTCCCATTGCTACTCTGCATGAGATGTTTCCAAGTTTCCTGGGACTTTATTTTAATTTTGTTTGAGTGTAACACCCCATGCAGGGTGTTACACTCAAACACTTACAGCCTTCGACCCACTTCAAGCCAGCACAAACACCCAAATTTTGTTACAGGGAATTTGTCTGACATGAATAATTTGGAAGACTTCTTACCATCTCAGAGAAACTGAAGAGCGTGAGAAGATGGGAATGGCATTCCAGAACTGCGGGAAGAAAAAAACATTTTATTGTTGGCACGAAGACTGAGCTAGTCAATAAGCATTGGTGCTTTCAGATTCCATTTGGCACCCACAATGCTACAACTCCTATGAAAAAAGATGCTATTGCCTAAGTCCCAGCCGAGGAAGAGAAAAAAAAAGAGGGAACTTGTTCCAGAAATTTAACTTTCTCTTAAGAAACAACCATGTTTTCTGGAAAATCCTCAGGTGAAGAGACCAAAAAAAGTGCACAGCCACTAATTAAATCTTTCCCTGTGTGTGGAAAAAAAATAAAAATACACATTTGGCAGCACAACACCGGTTGGTAGCTGCTTCTTATACCAAGTTGTTCATGTCAGAGATCCCCTCCCAAGTTAAAAATGTTTTGTTTCAGCATCCTTGAGGCCAAACTTCACTTGAAAGGATGCTCTAAAATTCTATTTGATTTTATTTAAACCTAATTAAAAAAGTATCAGGTCTGAATTGAAGTATTTTTAAGTCAAATGATTTATTTTTTTAAAATCCTCAAGCACATTTTGTTTGGAATGGGCACTAAGCTAGCAAGTCAGTTCTTCACACAGCTTTGAACCCAAGAATGAGGCTGAATGAAGCAGACAGTTATGATGAAGCACCTGTGGCTACAGAAAAGCTAGAATTGCACAGCCACCTTTAAGTGCCTTGCAAAATATCCATGCATCACATCATACACCATTTCAGTCATTCCATCTCTAGGCACTTCTCTCCATGGTTCTTGGGGCTTTATTTTGGGAAGAGGCCCTGAGTAGCTGGGCTCCTAATTAATATTCAAGTTGGGGTAAGCAACACCCCCGTGGTTTGGGTTTGGGATTATCAGGGGTGGGCAGAGATCCCAATAATGCCCAAGGGCATGCAGAGGTCCTGAGCCTGCCAGGAACTATGAGCCCAGGACATGGAGTGGGCATTGGCACAAAAGACAGGCTCATTACCCAGAACAGGGCAGAGGAGACAGGGCCAAGGGACCAGACTGACAGAGCAAGATCAGGCTCATTTCCCAGAGCAGGGCAAGGACAGGGCCAGAAAGCCCAGTGTCTAAGAAGGCCTGACACCAGGGCTAGGTGGGCCAGAATCCAAGTAGGAGACAGGGTCTGGACCCAGGAGCTTAGTCTGACGCAGTGGACTAGAGCTAGAGGGCCAAGCAAAAGGAAAGGGACGGAGGCTGCGAAAGCCAAGGAACAGGGCTCCCCAGGTCAGATCTCCTCTCTTGAACACAGGTGTCTGTGCTCATTGCCTTATGGGCTAATTACTGGCTCTCACCCCCTTACACCACACCCATGCCTCACGGATGTTACTCGTTCCTGCTGACATGAGTCCCTCCATAGGCCCCCAGCCCCAGTCTTTGTCCCTCTTGATCTGTGGGGTCCTTGGTCTCTGGTTATGACCCCCAGTCTTTGGCCCCCTCTCTGGGCCCTGGCCCCACTCCTAGGCCAGTCAAAACTCCTGGGCTCTCCTGGCCCCGCCAGTCTCCAGTTGTGGCCCTCCTCAGCCTTTGGCCTATTTCTGGGCCCCTGCTCCACTCCTGGGCCAGTGAGACTTTCAGGCTCCCTGGCCCTGCTGACACGTGGCCCCTCCTGAGCTAAAGACTTCTGGGCTCCTTGGCCCCTCTCTCCCTTTAGGGCCAGCTGGGACCTACTCACCTCCCCTTAGTCCCTTCCACAAACCACCAGGGTTACTTACTGCACCCCCAGGAGCCCCGATGCCCAGGAGTGCCATGCCACTTTGCTCTGCTCCCTGTGGCTCTCAGGGCTTCACTGCCTGCCTAGCTCAGGCCCTGGGCTTATATGCTTCTCATGCAGCCTCTTCCCCTCTTAAGAAGTGACAGGCATCCTGTCACAGCCCCCTGCCCCCCCGAAAGCTAGCAAACCCTTCCAGGTGCAGCATCAGCACATGTTAGCTGGGCTGTGACCAACCCTTTACCTGTGCAAGCACCACAAAAAGAAGACTAAAAGGATTATAGTCGCATAGAGGAGAGTGGCACAATGAGCACAACACATCAACATTTCTTTTTCACCTCCTCATCTCCCCAAGGTCTTTGAGTCCATTTCCACAAGTTTTTTCAACCCCTGAAACCAGTTCAAAATGTCCTTAAAAAGCAGACCTTTTGCCCAAAACATCCTTTCAAAGTGCCAAACCTTTCACCCCCCCAGACAGCAGCCATCCCTCCCACCTTTCATCTGGAGCTGTTTTTCTTCCTCCAGCTTCTTTCAGCAGTACTTTTCTTCCTCCAGGAAGGCACTGGCTGGGTTTGACTTAAATAGACTCAAACCCGTCCCACTCTCAGCAGCATCAGAGAGGGCTGTTTAACTGGAGTCAGCTGCTGGAGGTTTTCTTTCTTCTCCCCACCTACTATGTGACAGTTCATAGTGTTACCCTGGCCATGGCTCAATTCCATCGGCTGTAAGTTTACACTACACTCTCAAGCTCTTTGATTATGATCCAGAAAGCAATATGATACCATATAAAGCATGCAATGATAGCAAATATCCAGTGTTCCCATAAAGCCCCACCAGCTGCCCTCTGCTTTTCCAAAAAATATCTCTGCTGACATTCTGTAACTACCTGGAGCCCAGTTGGAGCTCTCCAGTCTCTTGCTCAAGCTTCCAGTGAAGGACCAGAGAAGCAGAAGGTGGGTTGAGTCTCCCAACTGGTAACCAAATATTTCCTTGCTCTTTCCAGCAAATGGGTCTGCCTTTCTGAAGATTCAGGCACGATGGATCTTTCCAGGCCCCCCTGTATCAACATCAGTGCATCCTTCACGTGATCAAACAGGTCTTGCAGTTCTATGAGGAAAAGAACCTTCCTGTTAATGATGTCCTTGTCCTGGAGTGTGCAGCAAGGAAAAGGCACGTGTGTCCCATCAGTCATCTTGGTAGGGTTTTGGAAGCCCCTCCATGCACAGCTATCAATAGCCTCCTGTGCATTGCCAAGCCCTATGCCCCTGAACAGCAGCACCCTTCTCCCAGCAAGGCAAACCTCTGTGGCAACTGCTCCAGTATTCTGTCCGGTCAGCAGTTAACTGCTAGCAGTCAGGAGTGATGGGCTGATGGTGGCTTCAGGTGGTGGTGGAGGTTGAGGGGAGGTCTTATTCTGGTACTCTGCTAATGCAGCTGTGGGGTGAGTGATAGAGATTTCTAGGAGAGTGGGCTTCTAAGAGAGTGCACTATTGATGCCGGTCACCCTGTTCTGCATCACTGCTTGTCCCACCATTCACTGCTAGTTGGCTGCCCTCAAAGTAGCTCTCCTCTGTGTAAAGCTGCTCTAGATAAATGCTCTGCTGAAGAAAAGCTTTATTTCTTCCTTCCTTCTCCATTGGCTGTTTTGTTATGGTTCCAAAGCCCTATGAAACCACAGAGACTGATCCATCCACTTGCATAGTTCCAAATACACAGACATCATCCCGTTCCTATCCGTGACTTCCTTAGTCACAGCATGCAGCACAGTGTCCTCCATGTGCCTGGCAAAAGAATGAAGATGGCACTGCCAAAATGAATGGGTATCAGGAGAAGGATCCTCGGAGTTTGCTGGCTGAAATCTCCCAGTCCCAGAATGCTTGTAGTTTCCAAAGGACATTTCATCATGCCTGGGTGAGAAAAATCACACATCACAAAGTTACCCAAAATGCTGAGCTGCTAATTTGCAAAAGAGCAGAGCTGTGTGTATAGATAGTGATTAACAAAAGCACTTTATGAGGAAGCAGTGTGGACACACTCTGGTTTGCAGTAGTTACACTGCTGCCCTTAGAACAAGCAAACAAATCCCATGACCCATGGAGGCATGGCCTCCGTCTCTCTGTGGGATTATTTCACAGACGTCATAGATTTCATAGACATTAGGGCTGGAAGGGACCTCATAAAATCATCAGGTCCAGCCCCCTGCCCAAAGGGCAGGAAGTCAGCTGGGGTCAAAGGATCCCAGCAAGATAAACATCTAAATGTTTCTTGAAAGTGTCCAGAGTAGGTGCTTGCACCACCTCTGTGGGGAGTCTATTCCAGGCCTTGGGGCCTTGGACAGTAACGACGTTTTTGCTTATGTCCAGCCTAAAACAGTTTTGCAGGAGTTTGTGACTGTTGGACATTGTCATCCCCTGGAGTACTCTGGTGAACAGGTGTTCCCCCAGATCCTGATGCACACCCCGATGTACTTATAGGCTGCTACCAAGTCACCCCTGAGCTCGCACTTCTCCAGGCTGAAGAGTCCCATAGCTCACAGCCTCTCTTCATAAGGCCTGCTCTCTTGCCCTCTGATCATGCGTGTGGCTCTCCTCTGGACTCTTTCAAGCTTCTCCACATCCTTCCTAACTTGTGGAGCCCAGAATTGGATGCAATATTCCAGCTGCGGCGTCACCAAGGCCGAGTACAGCAGAAGGCTGACATCCTGGGTCTTGCTCAAGATGCATCGATAGATGCAAGCCAGAGTTTTATTTGCTTTGTCAGCTGTGGTATTGCATTGGTGGCTCATATTCATCTTGTGGTCAGTCATGACACCCAAGTCTCTTTCGGTCATGGTGCTAGCGAGTGTAGCATTGGCGAGCCTATACATGTCTCTAGTACAATGGACTTGTAATGTTGGCTGCAACCTCCAGATTACTACTAAAACACAAATAATTAAGCAGTATTACCACTTAACATAAGACTTTGCTTTGTTAGGCAGGATTTTCATGGATTTCCCTTTTTTACTATGAGAAACTGAGGCTCAGAGCTCAGTCATGAAACAGAACTGGGTTAGATCCCACAGCTGAACCAGATTTCTTGGCTCTTAGGGCTGTATACTGTAAAGGCTTTGCCAATGTAGCACTGGCACAGCCCCCTAAGGGTGAGGGAGCTTCAACCAGCAAGGAGAGCTCCAGTATAGTTAAACTATTTCCTGGAATGACATCAGGAATGCTGGCCAAAGGACTAGTGCTGATATGAAGCACAGTCTACACTGGGGGTGCTTTGCAGGCCTAACAAAGTCACTCAGAGGTAGAGTTCTGTGCCCACCGGTGTACCCTAATGACTGATTCATATTGCCTTGAATACAGCATAACAATGGGGATTCACATCAGAAAAGCAGAGGAAGGAAGGCAAAGCATGTAGACATTTCTTCTTCAAGTTGTTCCCATGTCTTCTAAGTGCTTATCTCAAGTACATCAGTCAGGCTCAAAGGGACTGTTCATGCATCCCTTCAGACTCCTTTTGTGCGGAGTGATGGGGCCCAGAAACAATATTAACTCAATACAGTAAGAAATTAATTTTTTTGTATTATGATTAAACCCAGACCTCCTTATCTTCCAGAAAGGGGCGGGGGAAACCCTCTAATATAATTATTTTTCTCATTAATACAAAAAACTTGGTTTCTAACCTGCTGGATTACAGCCTGCAGCAAAATGTCAGACACTCCATTCTCTGGCAGCCTCAAATCTGCAAATGAAAATTAATATTTAAATTGATTTAAGTTTTTTCCTCCCATAATCTATTTTCTTTCAGCGTCTAATTTCCCCACTTCCCTTTGAGTTTAGATTCCCTGTATAAATTCAAGCTAAGATTATGTTGCCATTGATAAAAACACAGGATGTATGTTTAGAATGTCCTTTTGTTATCTGGTCTGTTTTGTTTTAAAGGGGCTTGGGAGTGGTCTTCTCACTGTATCTGTACAAAGTTAGCTCCAAAGTCAACTATTCTTACAGGCGAGTGGACCCTTGCATCTGACCTGTACTCATTATGGGTCTGGGACCTTGGCCTGGCATAGTAATCCACTAGAATTCAGGGGTTGGCAATTTACAGCCTGAGAGCTGCCCCTGGCCTTCAAAGAGATTTTACCTCACCTACCAAGCCCATTTTTATAAGAACATGGCATCTAATGGCTGCCTCAGTTAATTGCTTCCTTCCACCCAATGAGGATTGAGTTGTTACTGAAACGCTGCCAACCCCTGTACTAGATGAAGGGACCAAACCAACCTGATAGTCTGTTGCACTGTGGCATGTGTTTTCTCAGTGAGTTGGTAAAGAACAATTCCCTGGCAGTCCTCTGCAAAATGAAGGCAACTTAATTAAGGTTGTTAAGGAAAGTGGAGAAAATCCTGCAAAACTAGATTTTGGGTATGTCTACACATGCATTTATACTGGTTTAAATTTACTGTGCAGTGATTTACTGCACAGTAAGCAGGAATAGGCTGGCATCTACACATGCACACATTAAAGCGCATTAATTCTGTGTGTGGACTGACTTGGGACTAAAGTGCGTTACTGTGCAGTAACTAATAGGGCATAAATTTGATACCTGCATGATGCACATATCATGTGTAGACGTTTGCCCATACTGCACAGTAATATCAGATACTGCACAGTAAATGCACATATGTAGATGTGCCTAGTGGGTGAGATTTTCAGTGGTTGCTGGATCAGGGCTGGCCAACCCAGCCATATCATGGGCAACCTGTGTGTGGCATGCAGCAGACTGGGAAGAGAGCAAGAACACAGTGATAGATGGGGCAAGGAGCAGAAAGCTAAGCAGCAGATTAGACAGGGAGCATAGTTCATAGAGCAGAAATCAGAGCAAGAGATCAGGCAGGGGAGAGGGTTTGGCATGGCACTTGGGGAGGGTGTGGGGCTTACCTTGTGTCACCTCTGATATAAACATTAGCCTTCAACAGCACTAGATGATTTTGCTTCAGAGTGTTTCTTAATTTCACTGGGGGGTGTTCACTCTGTCTCTCAGACTGCTTTGGAAATATCACCCTGGATACATAACAGGATAGTCAAATGCAGCATAGTAGTAATATGCTACTGATGCTAGTGTCAGACACTTTCCTGTGTTTGGTATAATCAGCAGTGGTGGCTCTTTACAATTTTTACCCCAGGGTCTTCCCCAGCTTTCTCTTCCAATTAGATGGGATCCCCTTCTGTTTAGGATTTTGGAAATGGAAAGGTGGTTGTGATACCCAAGCTGAGGTGGTGCATGGGAGGCAGATTAGCACTGAAGGATGATAACCATATGTGTCACCACAAGCAGAACATACCCAGTGGAGCTCTGCATACCCAGTGGAGCTTACTTGCTGTGCTCCCAAGAGGAAGACTCTAGAAGAAAACTGAAGAAAGTCTTCCCCAACATGGCGCTATAGCCCTGAACAGTCCAAACCCAAAATGTCTTTAGTACTCCACCTCCACTCCCTAACTTAGGCCAGTTCCTCTCCAGTCCTGTCCTCAGCCTCTCCCCAGACACAGGCTGACTATAGCATCCAGGATTCCCAGCTGATCTCCCACATGAGTGTTGGCCAAGCCCAGAAGAGTTAAGCTCCTGACAGCAGTTCAGTCAGGCAAGCACCCAATGCTGGAGGCAGAACCAGGACCAGTGTAGGGGCATATAAGGGAGATTTATGCTGCTTTGACTATTGGAATTTTCTCTTCTGGGGGCACATCTACATGCGTGCCAAAATAACCAAAATTACAGTGCAGTATAAGCTCACGTCTACATGTGCACACCTGCACTGTACAGTAAATATGGTGACTTGTGCCGACTTGAGCATAAATTTGATACCTGTATCATGCAGATATAAAATTTATGCCCAATTACTTAGTGCACAGTAATGCATGTGTAGACGTCTTACTGCACAGTAACATGTGTGTGTGGACTGACTTAGGACGAACTTTATTCTGAAGTCAGTCCATGCACAGCATTAATGTGCTTTAATGCCTGCACATGTAGACGCCAGCCAGTAACTTACTGTGCAGTAAATTTAAGCTAGTGTAAATTCCCATGTAGACACGCCCTGGTAGTTGCAGTGCCTTGGTGGAAGGATTACAGGGACCTGAATAGACATTAAGCTTCCTATTTTCCCACTGCAGGAGAGTCAGTCCTGTGTGGTAGGAATACAAGGTGCCAGAAGCACAGCAATGCAAAAGGGACTGAAGAGGCAACAGCAGACAGCTGAATTCATTTTGAAACTCAGTCAAGGTTCAGCCTGGTTCAGGTTTGGATCCAGGGGCACCTTAGTTCTTCCTGTACCTGAAACTTTCTTGCCTGTACCTTCTTCTGGCATTTCCTCTCAAGGTTGAATCAGGCAAAGAGAGAAAAGGCAGATGCCTGGAGACAGCAGAAGATGGGCCGAAAGTCAGCTGTGTCTGCCATTAGGCATCGGCATTCTCCAGCCTGTCCTGGGGAAATGTGGCAAGAACCATGAGGACAGTGCTGCTTGTTAGCAGGGCACAACCACCGCTGTGTGTGTGTGTGTGTGTGTGTGTGTGTGTGTGTGTGTGTGTGTGTGTGTGTGTGTGTGTGTGTGTGTGTGTGTGTGAGAGAGAGAGAGAGAGAGAGAGAGATGGGGATTCAGTGAGAACAGTAAAAGTCTGTGTCATGTTCACAGCTCCTTGTCCATAATAGACAAGGTCATGCATGAAGACATGGCTCTTCCATTAGCGGTGGCACAGACACCAAACAGCCCTGTGGGAAGAAGGGGTTCTTCACACCTATGGTGAGACTCCTGTGAGTTTAGGTCACGTTGATGGCCAATGCAGCATATAAACCATCGCTCCAGGAGCTTCACCCTGAGGAACTCATCCCAAACAGAGCTGCTGTCCCTCGAGAAGTGTGGGGGGGAGAGCTTTCATGGGGGATCAGGATATGTATCTTAGGCAAATCACCTAATCTCTCTGGGCATGCCTGCCCTGTCTGTGCGCCACACCCAGGGAACCAGTGTGATACAGTCCCACCCAATTGTGCCACTCTGTGCAACCCACACCTGGGAGACAGGGCAATGTTACCACGTTAAAGTAGTGCTGACCATACTCCTCAGTACTGCTCTCAGGCATCCACTCAAGGTCACTTTAAAGTAGCTACGTGGACCTATTTCCATGCATGGATCAGGAGTGAGCGGCTAGGATGTGCTTCTTGGTGGCTGCCCTGGGCACTGCAGGGAAGTGACATGGACATGCCCATCATGTCCCAGGTCTCATCAGTAAAATAAGGATAGCAATCCTCCTTTTCTCCCTCCCTTTATGTGAACTTTTAGGTCCTCCGGTGAGGACTGTCCACGTAGCACCCAGCTGGAGTCTTATAGTGCTCCAGTAACATCCCCAAATGATTGTAACAACACAGGTAAGAATTTTTAGCAATGGCAATCTAAAGCTAAGCACCCACACTTCCTCTTGAAGCCAACAGCAGCAGTTTCAAGCCCTAAATCCTGTCCCTTCTTCTTCTTTAACACCATTAAAGTCTACCTGTCCCTCACCACACCTGCTGCTAAAACCCTTGTCCACTGCTTCCCTGTATCTTGCCTGTAGTAAATCTGCTGCTACGGTTTCCATACCCAGCTCACTAGTCCATCATTCACTCTGCTGATGCGCTGCCTCTCAGGGCCTAATTCAGTGCTCATTGAACTCAATGGAAAAAATCCCATTTCCTTCAAATGTGCCAAATCGAATCTTTACTGCATCATATTCATACACCCAGGACCATCTACTACATCACCTCTCACCTCCATCAAGGTCCTGGCATTTTGTTTTGCTCTGCCTTGTCTGCTTGAGATTGGGAGCTTTTCAAGATCTGGTAGGTGTCTTTGTCATGTAAATTTACAGTGCCGTGTTAAGTGGCTTTAAATATTTCAATACAGTTTAATAAATATTAATTAATTAATAAACAGTGTCAACATTTCTCAGAGAAGGACAAAATGTCCTGACTGCCTGGCTGGCATTACTGGAGTCTCTTTAAATGTCAACTATTCTGGGCACTTAATTTAATATACAGAAAGTCACCCTACAGTGAATAGAAAAAAATTCATCAAGCAGCCAAGGCAGCTCCAGTTATTTAATAAGAGAAACCAGAATAATTCACCCATAATACTCAAAGTTGCTAGTAACCAAGACAACCCCAATTAGTTTGGTAAATCCTTCCGATAAGAAATAAAGGCAGCGTCCTGAGCACTCATGGTTTTCAAAGACAGCGCTCCGCAGAATTGTTCGCCTCTCCTAGACCTGCTTTGAGGTGGCTGAATCGCATTAATTCTCCCTCTTTAAACCACCCCCCTGCAGCCTCACATGGACACATTGCCCTTCATGTGCCAAAAGCTTGGGCTGTTTTCCTGTGACCCCTTCTCAGAAATGGAGGCCAAGAAGGAGTAGAGCTCTGACGTAGGGCCTGGGTTCAGCTCCACACTAGACTATGGATTGCGTGTGTGCAATCTTGGGCAGGGCCGTAAGGGACATATCCAGATGGGTAAAGTTGGTATGACAGTTGTCATTGAGTATGGGCCTAAACGCCCTTGCTCCACTGACCATGAAATGCTCGAGGAGTCTAAATCCATTTGGCACCTACCCTTGGACTGAGGGCTCCCCCGGGACCTCCACTTGGGCTTCTGTGCGTTTGACGGGGCACGCCGGCAGCCCGCTCACCTGGGCCGGGCAGATGTGAATCTTATAAAACCCACTGGTG